GGGGGTCCCCCCGTCGTGTACCACCCCAAAAATTCCAAATCCTTGAACACCTGCTTGACTTTTTTGGGGAAAAATTCAAAATTGGGACCCAAAATCCCAAAATTTTGGCAGAAATCCCAAAATTCCTCCCCAAAATCCCAAATTTCCAGCAGAAATCCCAAATTTCCACCCCAAATTCCCAAAATTTCAGCAGAAATCCCAAATCTCCACCCCAAAATCCCCCAAATTTCACCGCAAAACCCCTCAAACTCCACTCAAATCCTCCCAATTTTTCTCCAGGAATCCTAAAATTTCAAAAAAATCCCAAAAAATCCCCAAAATCAAAAATAATCCCCTCAGGATCCTCCCAAAACCCTCCAAAAACAGCACCAGGAGCCTCCAAACCCCTCCTAAAATCCTCCCTGAACTCCCCCAAAACAGCCCCAAAACCCCTCAAAATCCACTCAAATCACCCCAAATTTTTTCCAGAACATCCCAAATTCCCAAAAATCCCAAAATTCCCAAAATTTGCTTACATTGCTCCTCCTTGGTGTAATAGTACTCCTTGTCGATGAGCAGGTGTCCCCCGGAGCCCCAAAATCCCCCAAAACCTCCCCCAAATTTACCCTAAATCCTCCCAAATTCACCCAAAATCCACTCAAAACCTCCCAGATTTTTTCCAGGAATCCTAAAAATCCCAAAAAATCCAAAGCAATCCCAAAAATAAAAAATAATCCCCTCAGGATTCTCCCAAAACTCTCCAAAAACAGTACCAGGAGCCTCCAAACCCCTCCTAAAATCCTCTCCAAACTCCCCCAAAAACAGCCCCAAAACCCCTCAAAATCCACTCAAATCTTCCCAATTTTTATCTAGAACATCCCAAATTCCAAAATTCCCAAAAATCAAAACAAATCCTAAAAAATTCCCCTCAGGATCCTCCAAACCCCCTCCTAAAATCCCATCAGGGACCACCAACCCCCCTTAAAATCCCCTCCGAACTCCCCTAAAACAGCCCCAAAACCCCTCAAACTCCACCCAAATCACCCCAAATTTTTTCCAGAACATCCCAAATTCCCAAAAATCAAAAAAATTCCTAAAAAATTACCAAAATTCACTCACATTGCTCCTCCTTGGTGTAATAGTACTCTTTGTCGATGAGCAGGTGCCTCCCAGAGGTCCAAAATCCCCCAAAACCTCCCCCAAAATCCCCCAAATTTCACCCAAATTCACCCAAAATCCACTCAAATCCTCCCAGATTTTTTCCAGGAATCCTAAAAATCCCAAAAAATCAAAAAAAATCCCAAAATTCAAAAATAATCCCCTCAGGATCCTCCAAACCCCCTCCTAAAATCCCATCAGGGACCGCCAACCCCCCTTAAAATCCCCTCCGAACTCACCAAAAAAAGCCCCAAAATCCCTCAAAATCCACTCAAATCACCCCAAATTTTTTCCAGAACATCCCAAATTCCCAAAAATCCCAAAATTCCCTAATTTTGCTCACATTGCTCCTCCTTGGTGTAATAATACTCCTTGTCGATGAGCAGATGTCCCCCGGAGCCGTGGGCCAACAGCTCAAAGGAATTCATCACCTCGATGTTCCGGCCCTCCTGGCGCCCGATCAGCGCCCCCACCACTGGAAATTTGGGAATTTTGGGAAATTTTAGGAATTTGGGATTTCCAGGAAAAAATTTGGGGTGATTTGGGTGGAATTTGAGGGGTTTTGGGGCTGTTTTAGGCGAGTTCGGAGGGGATTTTAGGGGCGGTTTGGAGGCTCCGGATGGGATTTTTGGAGGGGGTTGGGAGGGTCTTAAGAGGATTTTTGGGATTTTTTGGGAATTTTTGGGGTTTTTTAGGAATTTTCAGAGTTTGAGGGGATTTAGGACAATTTTTGGGGGGATTTGGGGTGGTTTTAAGGGATTTTGGGGCAGTTTTGGGATGGTTTTGGCACTCCCAGGGCCGTTCATCACCTTGATGTTCCGCCCCTCCTGGTGCCCAATCAGAGCCCCCACCACTGAAATTTGGGAATTTTGGGAAATTTTGGGAATTTGGGATTTCCAGGAAAAAATTTGGGGTGATTTGGGTGGAGTTTGAGGGGTTTTGGGACAAATTTTGGGGAGTTCGGAGGAGCTTGAGGGGCTCCTGATGGGATTTTGGGAGGGGGTTGGGAGGGTCTTAAGAGGATTTTTGGGAATTTTTTGAGATTTTTTTTTTTAATTTTGGGGGTTTTTAGGAATTTTGGGAGTTCTGGAAGGATTTTGGGTGGTTTTGGGGTGGTTTTGGGGTGGTTTTAGGGGATTTTGGGGCAGTTTTGGGATGGTTTGGGCAGTCCCAGGGCAGTTCATCACCTCTATGTTCCGGCCCTCCTCCCTCACCACCGAAATTCGGAGAATTTTGGGTTTTTTTTCTTTTTTTGGAGTTTTTTTAGGAATTTCGGGGATTCTGGAAGAATTTGGGAGGGATTTGGGAGGTTTTTGGGGAGAATTTTGGGAATATTTCGGGAATTTTCCCCTACCTTGCCTGCTCCTCTCCCCTTGGGATCAGAAAGTGATTTCAGGGCTATTTTTGTATATTTTGGTCATTTTTGGGGTCATTTTTACCGGGTTTTCACGCAGTTTGGGATCATTTCGGGGTATTTTTGGGAATATTTCAGGAATTTTCCCCACCTTGTCCGTTCCTACTCTCCTGGGAGCACAGGGAGATTCTGGGTTTATTTTTGTGTATTTTTGTCATTTTTGGGGTTATTTTTACGGGGTTTTCGCGCAGTTTGGGATAATTTCGGGATAATTTTGGGAATATTTATGGAATTTTCCCCACCTTGTCCGTTCCTCCCCTCCTGGGAGCGCAGGCGGATCCAGTGGTCGGAGATGTTGAGGATGACCAGAGGGTGCAGAGCCACGGAAACGCTGCCGGTCACTCCCCCCGCCATCACCTGCGGCACGCCTGGGGGCGGGGCCAAAGCCTCAGGGGCGGGGCCAAAGCCTCAGGGGCGGGGCCACCTCCCGAGGGGCGTGGTCACAGCGGAATGGGTAGTGGGAACTCAAAAATGGGGCGGGAAAACCCAAAAATGGGGCGTGGGAACCCAGAAATAGGGGGGTGGTCACCTCCCGAGGGGCGTGGTCACAGCGGAATGGGGCGTGGTCACAGCGGAATGGGGCGTGGTCACAGCGGAATGGGGCGTGGTCACAGCGGAATGGGGCGTGGGAACCCAAAAATGGGGCGTGGTCACACCGGAATGGGGGGGTGGTCACCTCCCGAGGGGCGTGGTTAACTCCCGAGGGGCGTGGTCACACCGGAATGGGGCGTGGGAACTCAGAAATGGGGCGGGAAAACCCAAAAATGGGGCGTGGGAACCCAGAAATGGGGGGTGAGAACAAAAAAATGGGGCGTGGTCACCTCCAAAAGGGCGTGGTCACACCGGAATGGGGCGTGGGAACCCAAAACTGGGGCGTGGTCACATCGGAATGGGGCGGGGTCACCCCAAAGGGCGTGGTCACAGGGGAATGGGGCATGGTCACATCGAAATGGGGCGTGGTTAACTCCCGAGGGGCGTGGTCACACCAGAATGGGGTGTGGGAAGCCCCAAATGGGGCGTGGGAACCCAAAAATGGGGCGTGGTCACCGCGGAATGGGGCGTGCTCAACTACAGAGGGGCGGAGCAAGCACCTCAGGGGCGGGGCCACCCAGAGGGGCGTGGTCACACAGGAATGGGGCGTGGTCACCTCCCGAGGGGCGGGGCCACAGCGGAATGGGGCGTGGGGACCCAAAATTGGGGCGTGGTCACAGCAGAATGGGGCGTGGTCACCTCCCGAGGGGCGTGGTCACACACACAAAAAAAAAGGGGGGCGTGGTCACCTCCATTAGGGCTCCTCCCGCCTTTTTTCCCCTCAGGATCTGCCCCATCCCGGTGCCGTTCCCGATGCGATTCCCGGCGGTTTTGGGGTTATTTCCGGTGATTTTGGGGCCATTCCCGGGGATTTGGGGCCATTCCCGATCCCTTCCCCGTCCCCGTTATTCCCGGTGCCGTTCCCGTTATTCCCGGGGCTCCCCCTCAGGTTTTACCCCTCACGATCCGCCCCATCCCGGGTCTATTCCCGGGGCCGATCCCGGTGCCGTTCCCGGGTCTATTCCCAATTCCATTCCCGGGGCCGTTCCCGTTATTCCCGGGGTTCCCCCTCACATTTTTCCCCTCACGATCTGCCCCATCCCGGGGCTGTTCCCGGTGCGATTCCCGGTGATTTTGGGGCCATTCCCAGGGATTTTGGGCCATTCCCGGTCCCTTCCCCGTCCCCCCGTTATTCCCGGGCCCATTCCCGTTAATACCGGAGTTCCCCTCAGATTTTTTCCCTCACGATCCGCCCCATCCCGGGTCTATTCCCGGTGCCGTTCCCGATTCTATTCCCGGGCCATTCCCATTATTCCCGAGGTTCCCCCTCAGATTTTTCCCCTCACAATCTGCCCCATCCCGGTCCCTTCCCTGCTCGCCCGTTATTCCCGGTGCCATTCCCATTAATACCGGAGCTCCCCTTCAGGTTTTTCCCCTCACGATCTTCCCCATCCCGGTCCATCCCGGTTCCCGATTCTATTCCCGGTGCCGTTCCCATTATCCCCGGGGCAATTCCCGTTATTCCCGGGGCTCCTCCCGCCTTTTTTCTCCTCAGGATCCGCCCCATCCCGGTGCCGCTCCCGATTCTATTCCCGGGTCTATTCCCGGTGCCGTTCCCGTTATTGTCGCCGCCGTTCCCGTTACCTGCCCCGTCCACCTCCATCCCGCCGTTATTCCCGGTGTTCCCCCTCAGGTTTTCCCCTCACGATCCGCCCCATCCCGGGTCTATTCCCGGTGCCGTTCCCGTTACTCCCGGAGTTCCCCTCATTTTTCCCCTCACGATCCGCCCCTATCCCGGCTCTATTCCCGCCGCCGTTCCCGTTACCTGCCCCGTCCACCTCCATCCCGCCGTTATTCCCGGCGTTATTCCCGGTGCCGTTCCCGGCGCTCCCGGAGCCCCCCCCGCCCCCCCCGCAGGAGCCGCCGCCTCCCGGCGCCGCCGCCGCCATCTTGGAGCCCTCACGGGGCATGCGCGAGGCCGGAGGGGGCGTGGCTTAACGGGAGTGCGATTTGATTGGACGGCGCACGTAATG